GAGAGAGAGAGAGAGAGAGAGAGAGAGAGAGAGAGAGAGAGAGAGAGAGAGAGAGAGAGAGAGAGAGAGAGAGAGAGAGAGAGAGCCCTTTCACAATATTCGGACAACCCCTGCCGGTACTTCAAAAGGTCCCTGCCAAAAATTTCCAAGGGTCCCGTCGGAAGGAGCGAGGTGGTCATCGGACGGGTCGTCACTGGACTTGTGGTAAGGAGGGAGCAGGCCAGCTGTATGTAGCTTCAAATTCAGGTCCGTGTTTCAGCAGTTATGGGTTACTGACTTACTAACTCGGCATGTGATTTTCAGGGCTTCACTCCACTACTCACCAAATGTGCAAAACTAGAATGAATCTTCTCCTAGAAACTGGATCCATACAAGCCCTACATTTTTCTTTTCTGCAAGTGCTGATGAGTGGAGCGAGGCCCTTAGGGCCACTGCACGCACGTAAGAAAAGGAAAAACAAAAAAACGAGACAGCTACTGTATGTGCAAAACTAGAATGAATCTTCTCCTAGAAACTGGAACCATACAAGCCATCCGTTTTTCTTTTCTGCAAGTGCTGACGTAATCAAACTCACTTTCATTATGTCTGCAAATAGGTTGCGCAGCAAACTGGCGTCAAGCGCCCACTCAGAACTTAGAGATATAGTACCAAGAACGCAGCTCAGATACAAGTTCACTTCAACCGGCTATGGCGGCACATTGCCTGTACAACTCTCTGTTCGCCGCTTACTCAACACTGCTGTTCGCACACAGGATCACCCTGGATATCCCACACACATCACACTCTGTGCACACACACACCCGCACACACCTACAGCTATGGCGGCTATGGCCGCTACTACTCTACCACTATGGCTAACTTCCTTCGCCCACTTCGTCCTCGGGCTCACTGCAGACCACCTCGCACAAGTCGCTATGGCAGCGCTTCCGCATGGCTCATGCAGGAATGAATGAATGGCTGGTTGCTGCCTCTCAATTTATACTTTTGTAGCTCGTTGGTCTGGCCCTTTCCCATGCCCGTGGTGCACACAGTCCCGTACGGTACTTGCTGGACTGGACTAGGACTGGCTGGGACTGGGACTTCTGACTCAGCATGGATAGACTCCACCACTTGCCCACTTGCCTTTGTCTCAAACGTGAGCAGCTTCGAAAGGCCACTTCCGGACCTTCCGGAAGTTCGTGGACTTGGCCTTTCGAGTACTGTAGCAGCTACGACCTTGACCTC